AGCCCCGCCCTATTCCCTGATCCAGGGGCCATGAAATTCACAATTTGGAAAAGGCATCCTTGCTTATCATAACAATGTACTTAGTTTGTTTAAATAATACCCAGGAGCAGAGAAGAAGATTGTTAAAGAATTAATGCATTTTCGCGGAATTCACTATATAATAAATAGAGCCCCGCCCTATTCCCTGATCCAGGGGCCATGAAATTCACAATTTTGGAAGAGGCATCCTTGCTTATCATAACTATGTATTTCATTTGTTTCAATAATACCCAGGAGTAGAGAAGAAGATTTTCAAAGAAATAATGCACTTTCACAATATGATCTATATAGCCCCGTCCTAGCACCAGAACCCCTGAGCCTGGGGCCATGAATTTCACAATTTTGGTAGAGTCACCCTTGCTTATCATAACTATGTATTCAATTTGTTTCAATAATACCCAGGAGTAGAGAAGAAGATTTTCAAAGAAATAATGCACTTTCACTACTAGTATATGATCTAAATAGCCTCGCCCTAACACCAGAACCCCTGAGCCTGGGGCCATGAATTTCACAATTTTGGTAGAGGGCTCAATGCTTATTACAATCATGCCAACAGTTTGACTGCTTGATGTCCAGGAGTAAAGAATAAGATTTTTAAAGACAACACTAATTTTGATGGTTTTAGCCCCACCCCTCAGGCCCCAGGGGGAAGGGACCATGAAATTCAAAATTTTTGTACCCCTTCACCTATTGATGCTTTATGCCAAAATTGGTTGAAATTGGTTCAGTGGTTCAAGAGAAGAAGCTGAAAATGTTCAAAAGTTTACGACCGACGGACGACGCACCTCGCACGACGATGGACGAAAACAGATAGCAATAGGTCACCTGAGTGTCTCAGGTGACCTAATAATGAATTCTAAAACTCTCTAAATGAGAAGTGACTAGAGGGTGAAGCAACTTAGGTACATGTATCTATGGAGAGTTGGGAAGCGAGAGGAAATTAGTCCTGGCTAGGATTCTCTCTGTTATGCTGAAAAACATAACGCAGATCTATGAGGGCAAATACTTCTCAGTTTCATAATGAAAGGAAGCAATTTATCATAGGTTTTTCCATCATTTGGCTATTAACATAATTACGTATCATGATAAAATATTTTGACTGTAATTAATACTATTCATATTATCAAATACATTGCAATATATGGAAGCCGGTACGTGCTAGGTACAAAAAATATATTATCTTGGTTGCCACCAGATAAGTTTCAAGCGCCTGCCATTGAAATATCTGGCGGCCGCCAGTAAAATTATAGTGTTTTTGCTTTAACGACATCTACAACTTCTGTTTGTAGTCAAATCTGGGAGTTTCATGCCTTATTAGCAAAGATAAAATCTACACTTTATACAAAAAAAAAATCACTTCATAAGGTTATGTTTCCCTTTAATTTATGTTTTATTAGATTACATGTCTACACCGCAAGAATCTTATTTGGCGGCTTCTAGTTATTTATTAACGCCAGATATATTTTTCTAGCGGCCGCCGAATAATTATGTGGCGGCCGCCAAATAAAATATTTTTCTTACTTTGCATCTACCGGCTTCCGTAGCAGTATGATGCTTTGAAATAATTTTTTTTATTTATGTATGTATATAAAGCTGCATTTAATTTTTAAAAGTACCAATTTTTCTTTTTATTTCAAAACATTTTTAAGTTCAATTTGATGATATTAAGGTACATTTTTATAAAACATGTAATTGTGTAACCTCATTGATGAAAATATATTGCATATACTTATACATGAACATTTTGACGTTTACCTATCTCATGTCTACATATCTTTTCATTTGAATTTTTCGTATGGGAAAATGTTATATATTTATGATAAAATTTTTATATAAACTGTCGTTTAATTATGATTTTAAAACTTTCTGTTAATGTTTACGTTTTATAAGTTAAATTCATCCTCTTTTAAAGAAAGGTAACATTTATCACACCAGAAAAAATATCGCAACTTAAGGAAAGGCCATAGTTTTTCGCTTCCGGTTTTAAATTTTATACACCGACTCTAGACTTCCGGTTATGACTCGGCTTTGGCGCAAAACATTCAGTCTGGCCATTTATCATAAATTTCGTGTGATTATATAAAAATACAAGAATGCCCCGGTCTAAAAAAGGAACGTTCGTGAAAGCTTCGTTCCTCCGGAGACTTGAGGGTCTAAGGAGAGCAAGAGAAGCCCGTGCGTTAAAAGGTAAACAGGGTAAGTGTCTGTATTAATAATTATTGTGTAAGCGTTCTGCTATGGACAGATGGACTGTTGGAATATGTAGCAAAAGATTCAATCATTTATTGTGTAAATATTAGATGTTGAAAATGATGGCCTATGCTTGGAGAATGATTCTTCCCCTGTTCTACGAAGTGTTGAGTGTCAAAGTGCAGAAAGTTCATGGCGTGTTGGAAGACGAATTGTTGAACTTGGCACTCTTGTAGATAATCTGAAAAGAGGTTGCGCCATGTGTGGGAATGCACTTCAGCTTGTTAACACTATAGGTGAAAGGAAATTTGGACTAGGGCAGGTATTCATTATTTTTTATAATATTGTCAATGACTTTGTATTTCAAAGATTTGTTTTTAAAGATGTTGTATATACCCTTTACATTAATTTTTGACCAAATGCAGGTTCTTCAGATAAAATGCACACATTCCACCTGTGCCCATGTTAATGACATACCCACGGGCAGTAAGCATAGGGTTAAAGCAGATATGAAGCAATATGCTTGGGATGTCAACACAAAACTTGCTGCAGGTATAAATCAAAAATTTTATTTTGTAAATAAGCAGATAAGAATAAATTATTTCCAGTTATACAAAAGTTTACATCTGAAAGAACTATTTTGTTTTCATTTTATTTCTGTGATATCTTAGGTATGCTAAATGGTGGTTATGGAATAACTCATGTAAATGCATTACTGGCTGCACTGAATATCCCAGGGATCACAAACAGGAGTCTAAAAAGCAGAGAAAGAGAGGTTGGGGAACACCTAGAGGAAATGGCAGGGCAGAGTTGTAATAAAGTTCTTCAAGAAGAAATGAAACTGTAATTTTATATACCAAATATTGATATTTAAATTTTGCTTTGTATTTACATGTCATTTGTTAATATTTGCACATTTGTGTTAATTACTTTGTAGGAGTGATGGAGACATCACTGTGTCTTTTGATGGTGCCTGGCAGAAGAGAGGTACTGGTAGAGGATACAATAGTCTTACTGGTATGCCCTGGTGATAATGTTACATGTTTTGATTCTCCCTCCTCAAGAAGGATTGAGATTTCTTATAGAGTAACATATTTTAATACACATACATGTAGTTATGTACTAGCAGTATTTATCTTGTTACAGGTCATGCATCTCTAGTAGGAGAAAAAACTAAAAAGATAGTAAGTTTCTCTTCGAAGAGTAAAAAATGCAGAATCTGCTCAGCTGCATCAGGTAAAGGAGTTCCACCCAGAAAACACAACTGCCGAAGGAATTGGCATGGATCGGCAAAGGCAATGGAGCCAGCCATGGCCTGTGAAATGCTGAGTGCAATCCAAGATGAAGGGTGCAAGGTAACTTTTCATTGAATGTTTGATTCTTATTAGAGCAATGCCAAATATGTCTGTAAAGTTGACTACATTATATATTAAAACTTTGCTGTTTTAATTAAAGTACATATTTCCAATGTATTTTACAGATAGGAACTTTAGTCATGGACAATGACTCAACAACTATTGCCCATGTAAAAGCCACTGTGGACCCAACCATTAACAAAAGAGCTGACAAAAACCACACAAAAAAAGGTTTCACAGGAGCTTTGATTGAGCTTGCCAATACTCACAAAGTTTTGAAAAATCAAAAACTTAGAGGTCACATTGAAAGGTTTGTGTTTTTGAAGTGTAATATTTCAGTAAAATATCCCTTGATCAACTGTGGTCCAACAAAAACCTTGTTAATTGTAAGTGCGATAGCTAATTATAAAATAAGTATCTTTTCCTTCTTTGTTTTAGATGTTTTACATATTGTGTACAGCAAAACAGGGGCAAGACTAAAGAGCTTGAAATTGAACTTGGCAAAATTGTTCCACATTTATATGGTAAGTGTATCAATAAAAAAGTCATTACAAAATTAGGAATGAAGAGTGAAAATATTTTAACTACTTTTTTTTTTGAAGGTGAACACGAATACTGTGGAACTTGGTGCCAGAGTAAAAAGACTAACTATAAACCACGAAATTTGCCGTATGGAAAGCCTCTCTCCTGCACCTTACTTCGAGAAGCTTTAGAAGGTCTATTCAAAAAGTATTGCTGTAAGGCAGAAGAGCTAGCCATGATGGGGTCCACCCAAGTCAATGAGAATTTCAACCATATGGTCTCCACTAAAGCCCCCAAAAGATTGTAAGTACTTTGGTTTATTTCTCTTTGTTTAAAACAAAAATTCTAGGTATAATCTTTTAAATTGAGTCTGAAATATGAGATTCAAATTGCAAAAAAATGTGTTGTTAGGTTTTATGGAGGTTCAGAAAGTCTACATGCTAGACTCTCAGCCACTGTATGTCAAAAGAATATGGGTTATGGTTACATATCAGAGGTAGAAAAATGTGTTAAAAGTTTCAAGTTGATCATTTTTAAATTTGTTTTTCTCTACATTTATTGTTTGTTATGTTTTGTTTTCTTTCTTTTTTATGGCAAACCTAAGAAAGTTATGTTCACATGTGTTTAGTGTCCTAGAAGTTTATTTTGATTTTAATGGTTTTCCACAATAAATATTATAAACTATAAATACATGTAGCTTTTAAAAAAGATGTTTACAATCATGTTTATCTAAATAAACATGTACATAAAGTACATAAAGATATGGATTTACTAAGAAATTCACATTCAAAACTATAATCCCTGTTCTTATTAACCATTTGATTTGAATATGGAACACTCACAAAATTAAAAATTTACTGAAACATGAATTATATTTTACAGTTGAACAAGAAAATGGCATTGTCACCAGGCAATTTCACAATGAAACATACCATTAGACTTGCCAACAAGCTCAAACGGAAGCGTCTGATGCAGAGTTTACCCACCACAAAGAAACGTCGATTGGAATTAAAAGCTGCCAGGTTGTCTAAAGAAGCATCGAGGAATGTACTAGAAGGTAGTGCTTCAGTTAAAACAGAATTGAATGTAATGTTTTACTTTGATTTATTGTGTATTTTTCACACCTTTAGAGAAGCCATTGCTAGTGGAATTTCAGTATTATTTACTTGAATTTTGTTTGTAACAGGTCAATCATATAAGTCAGATATTGGTCTTGAGGAGGATGTTGATCTTGATGACATTGATCCAGAGCCTCTTAGGATTTCTCCAGAGAGCAGCTGCTTGATGTATTTTGATTTAGAAACTACTGGACTTAGTAAGATTTTTTTTTAGTTTACCTTTTCCCTACTAACAAATATAAATATTCTTTTATTTTCGAGTTTGGTATAAAATATAATTAATAATTTTGCTTTCAGGTAGAACATCTGACATCATACAGATTGCTGCAGTTTGTGAAGATAGGTCAATCAATGTTTATCTCAACCCCAGTGTACCAATCTGTAAAGAAGCATCGGCTGCAACGGGTCTCAGATATGACATGGGACAGCTCACTCTTTATGGAGAGCCTGTGCCTTCAACAGATCAAGTCAGTGGTTTGACCCAGTTTGTAGACTTTACAACAGATTGTGCTTCAAAACCAGTCATTGTGGGCCATAATATTCAAAACTTTGATCTTCCAATTCTTCAATATCACTTGCAGCGACATGGTCTACTTAAACGATTTGATGAAAATGTTTTAGGTTTTTTGGATACATACAAACTTGCACAGAAAGTGTTTGACAAGAAAACAATGGGAAATTTTAAACAAGAAACATTGGCCAGATTGTGTTTAGGGAAAAGTTACGATGCACACAATGCTCTAGCTGATGTTTGTAGTTTACGAGAATTGTACGAGTCAAATTTAGCATTCAAATGTGAATCTTTAGATATATTTAATATGAATTATTATAATGTCAAGTCCTCACTAGTTCCATTGATACAAAGCAAAGTAATTTCTACACTGATCTCTAAAAGGCTTACAGCTAACAATCTAAGCTTAAACAAGCTAAAACTCATACATAAGCGTGACCCCCATTGTGGGATTCAGACTGTCTTTAGTGAGGTTGTGTCTGGTTCAAAGACACCAAGAATTACGAAGTCTCAGAAGATCATTGGCAAAGTTGTGGAGTATTTGAACTCTTGTTAGTTCACATCATAAGTATTTTCATTCAACAAAATTATTTGTTTATGAGCTATACTTGCTAGAATCTACATGTATGTTTGTTACACTACATTTATTCTCTTTATATGTATTAGATTATAAATTGTTAAGAATGTGTACTTGTATGTAAAAAAAATTGTGAAAAAAGGAAGGGGTTGCCCCCCCCCCCCCCCACCCTACCCCTTATGTTCTAAGTGTCTAGAAGGACCAAAATTTCAGTATTTTTTAATATTCCATTTGTATTTCATTCTAAGACTGTATTTGTTTGTTACATTTTGATATTTTTCACAGTGTGTAAAATATAACTGTAAAACATGCTATTACCAAAGTGGGGGTAGGGGTATTCGAGATATGATTTAATAAAATATCTCTGGTCTACTGTGATAAAATATGTTTTTTTGTTAACCTTAGATATAATTTTAGATATTTTTAAAGAAAAAATGGCATGTTAACAATATAAATTTTGGGACTTTTGAAAATAATGATATTTTGTGATTTTTTTTCTGATGGATTTGAGCAGTATAAATGTTAAATGTGTATGTTTTCAATTGAATATCTCGAAAAATTCTCTTTGTAGTTAATTATCTATTAGATTTAATGAATTATAGCACAATACAGTGTGCTTTGGTGCATATTTGAATAAAATATGAAATTATACATCCTTGTGTTAGAATTTGGCTGTTGAAGTTGGGGGTATATGTGCTCTATAGCACATAGTATGAAAATAAGCGTGCAAAGGTATGTGTAATATGGGTTTTTTTGTTGGCTCAAGAGTTGTTTAAGATATTTAAATGAAAAAATAAATTGTTTGACAGAAAATTCTGATAGTATTTACCTACCTTAAAAGAACATTCGCATAAAAAAAATACCATTTTCTGTTTAAATATTGTTGAAATTGGTTAATTTATGTCTTTATTCATAGTTATCTTATTTCATTTACGATGTTCACGGTTTAAAAAATCCATATTACCCCTATGAAAATGTCTACTCCAGAAATATACGAAAGGGGGTACACATAAATTTTCAAATATCACGTGGCCGGAAAATGCGCAACATAAATTATTTTCATATTTTTAGAAAGATAAGGAGTTTTTCTCCCAAATATCAAAATTTCATGATATTTCGCGAGGGGCCGAAAAACGGCCTTATCGCAACTCCCCCTTTATCATTTCAGTTCATGTACAAATATTTATCATTAATTTTATTAATCGTATTCATTAATGACATAATAATTGTACATATCATAGTTACAAGACATTTTACATGTAAATTTCAATGGATACATATGTATATGCTTTTGATGTCATTACGTGTAAAGAGATACAAAAATCATAAAATTCAATCAATCGTATTTGACAAACATCACACATACGATGAAATATTATAAGAATAATAGAATGCTATCATTCTTAAATTTTTTCGATCGACAGTAACTACTGTGCATACTGTAAGACTCAATTTACAATTGACCTATCATGTAACTATGACGTGATATCTTTTATTCAAAAGAACTGACCAAGTATACAAAAAGAATTAACAGCATTGATATTTGACATGTGACACGTTGGATGATAAAGATGACCGAAATTGATCAGATTATCAACCTTAACGAAGATAAAAATTCTCAAACGGGAAAAAATCAAATGATGGTTAATCTCTAGAATACTGGAAAAAAAATCACTTGTTAAAAATGATTCTTCAAAATTATATATAACAGATTGTTTTCAATGAGACACAGATATGATAAAGAGCATATTTTGCTATTTTAATAATGTAAGGCAAAGGCTAAAGCAAATTAATTTGAATCTGTTAAACTTAAGTTTGAATTAAAAAAAATTAACATAACAGAACATAAAATTAGTGTACTTAAATGGATACATTTCTTTAAAATATCCACCACACATCGAAAGACTGCTCTAGTAATTTAAAGCAATACTTGAAATGTAAGGGAAAACATGTACCTTTATATTCACCGCGGGGCAGTAAAACTAAATATTAATTACGTAACCCGTACCTGGTATGGTGTTTTAATATAGATCTTTTAAGATTTTGCATGAAAAACGCTTTAGCTTTATCTGTGGCTGAGTATTGAGAAAAGGGATAACGTTTATTATTCTGGGTGTTTCTGTAAATATTTCTGCCGGGTGGACAACAGTAATCAAAAAAATCCCCTCACCTGCCAAGAAGAAGCAAATATGGACGATAGAACTTCACAATGGCCTCTGATACCTGAATCTGTTTAATGGCCCTATCTCTATCACCCGTGCATTGTCCAGCGTGTTGACAAAGTTCTTCATAACCCTCCTAAGCCATAGGCCAGGTGATTGTACTTGAACCATCGCGACCCTGCGCGCGGTTAAAGGAACACCGAGCCCGACCCTATTGACCCCTTTAAAGAAATAGGGTTGCTAATTGATGAAATTCTACGAGAAGTGATGGTCTGTTTGGGGTTGATTATTTGTAACGTCTGTTTTCCAACTGACCACAGTATGTCTTTATGATGTGGGATGTGTGTAATTTCCAATCTAATGTGTCCAATACCCTAAGGGAATTTTCTGTGACACGCCTCCAACGGAGAAATATTCACTGAAATAAATGTACCTTAATAGCTCATAAATACTTAAAATCTGTTCTTTAGTGAAGTGGAATTTCTTTTTCAAAGTCTTACAAGGCTCCGATCTTTTAATTTCTCCTGTTTGAATTACAGATTATTTTAATTTCTAGAGGAAAATAAAAATTACAGGTGTACATGTATATTATTGAATTATTCAACATATCCATTCTATTACAGATTTTATCCAAAGAAGAGATACTATTTTTTCGGGAAAAAAACATAAATAAATTTTATAATAACATTTGGAAACAAATGATAGACGGAGACACAGAACTGGTGTTTCTGTTTAAATGTTTAAGTTCACAATTCCTTATCAAGAATTACGTGACACGGACCCTTTGATGTAAAGAAATTGTAAACCTGTAAAGATTGATCATGTATCACATATTGACTCAATTTGTAAAATCACGATCATTAGAAGATTAGAAATCACAAGACGTTTTGATTTCCATCAAATGTTAAATTTTATTGTATTTGATTTTCTTCTTGTAAGTCAACAATATTCAAGTGTTAGTTTATCTTACACAATTGTCTATGTCAATGTTATTATACACGATTCTTCTTATCAGAAGAATATTTGTATTATACATGTATACTAATTTATATATAGAAGTAAATGCATGAAGTTTATGCATGTGATTTTTCTACAAATCAAATTATATTTTAAGCTCATTTTTATTTTCACACACACGCACACCCACACAAAATTGTTTGACTGAAAAAAGTTTTTTGATAGAATTTTAATCCCATTTTTCAGAGCAAAAACAGACTGTATTACATTACGCATCGAACATTTTTAGGGAGTAAAAACTTCAAAAATATATAAATAAGTTCGTATTCTTTTAGCATTTTTCATATAGACCAAATTTAACGACCATAAGTCTTTCAGATACAAAAGTATATAGTATGCAATCCAACTTTTTTTCCTTCTCGCTGTAGAAAGATCGCCATTTTACTGTAATATGTATCACCGTTAGCTGAAAATAAATGTTTATAAGTCACTTTTTTATAGACTTGCTTAACCATTTCATGACTTTTATTTTAATAGAAAATATTTAAAGACCCTTTATCTTTGTACTTGAAGTATGGCGAACCCAAATTCTATTTGTAGAAAATATTGCCATGGAGTGTCATCAACGTGGTGCTGATCGGTTAAAAATTATCACTTGCATGGAACGCTGTGGTAAGTCCATACACCATGTAAGACCAGCTCTCCCTTCGCAGCCATGATTTACTATAAGAGGCACTGTTATCACATTCTATGTACACATGGACCAGTTAAGTTGACGTTTGAAATTTACAAGTAAACAAATAGCCCTCAGACCGCGCGTGATAATGGAGAGAGGCAACGAGCCGTGCGCGTGACATCTTCGTCTGCTCAAAACTAACTTGCAACATTATAATGGTTCAAATTTAAATGGAAGTGACATGTAGAAGTTCTCAAACTCAAGAGGGATTTGCGAATTTTTGAGAACCTTAGAGGTTACTTAAGTAGTTGTAATTTGCTGTAAATAGATACCTCTTATTAGTTACAACACAGGAAATACAATTTTTTTGTATTACAAAATTGTAAATCTTTGTTATTTCTTATAAATGAAGTCTTCAGATGATCTCATGCACTGTATACTGATCTGAAATAGTTTCTGGGCATACGAAATAACAGTGCAATGGAGGGTTAATTTTACTACTAAGAGCAGCATAATAATTTAAACATATGCCTTATGATTAAAAAATGTTAAAGTGTTTTAGTGCATTTTCAATGAATTTTTGTTATATTTTTTTCTGGCCGGTATACATAATATGATATATGAAATCAAATTTTAAAAACCTTTAAGATAAAAAAAAATTATCTATTTTTTCAATAACTTTCATAAATCAGGAAAAGAGATCAACCAGAAAAAATTGCTACAAACAACAATTTAGAACACATAGGTCATTCCAAGCTTTTTGACCTAAGCCCTCGCTTTTTTTCAGTTTGCTCTATATTGCGGAAATCGAAGCGTTACCATGCAGACAAAAGCAACCTTTATTCTTTTGACAACTAAAAAGAAAATTTTCTTTTCTTCTGCGTTTAATATTCAATTAAAAAGCCATAGCAAGACTCATTCTGTTTGTATTAATATCACAAAACCTTTTTAAACAAATTCAAATAATGACTTCACAATCGCCCGACAAAGCTAGCAGGGTGCTTTTTGAGAAGAAGACATTTCTCTTGTTTGTGCTGAAAAAATTTAATTTTGGAATTGGCGAGAACAATTAAATCGTTCAAATCGAAACTTGCGGCTTGTAATAATCGTTTTTGTGTGTTAATCAAATAATACAGCGCGTAATATTGACATAAGAAAATAATGACCAAGTTTGGTTTATTATGGCGGTACCAAAGATGTGTAACATCGTTTGTCGATTATGTCCCTTGTTTTGGTCCTTTGGAAAAGGTCCCGACCGGAAATTCACAGGATATTGAAGAGAAACACCGCATACCTGTGATATTATATCGTCGCACTTAATTGTATCTACCTTTGGCGGTTATACTTTGAAGCTTTCTCCCAAAAAATCCTTTTTTTTTCTCAAATTTTAATTCAATTTCTGAGCGATGAATAAGAATTTACTGATGCAATTTAACATCAACATGAAAAGTCGGTAACGAATTTCCGTCGGAAAACTAAATATGTTGGCTTCCATAGTATTTATTTATAACGTGAAGGTTATAAGGTCAATTTTGTGTTCCTTTAATTGGATTTACTCAGTATTTACAGTATCTTTAGCTACATGCTGTGATAAAAAAGAAGATTTGTTTATGATTATATCCACATAAATATAGCGACGCAAATTCGTCCCGATTTATCATTCGCATTTAAATTTTTATGTTCATATATTCGTTTACTGCTCCAAGAGCACTGAAAAAATGTACTCTTCTGTTTTCGAGTCGAAAGAAAGAAATCAAGAAAAAAGACAACACAGTGACGAGTAAGAAATTATTTCTTAAAGAAACTCGAAAACGGCGAAAAAGACTGGATTATTTAATTCCTTATCAGTTAAGGTGTGTCAGAGAGACTTAGTAAGATAACACTGTACAATGTTGGAGGTGTGAACTATCTACAAACTCTTGTGACACTAAGATTATTTATAACGGTGAAAAAGTTATAACCAAGTTGTATTTAGCAAAATCAGATGAATGACAACTAATTCCGGTAAAACGAATCAAAAATTCACCTATACACATTTAAATCTAAAAATGTACAAACAAATGTACATGTCGATGTAAATATTATTTTTGGGGGATTTTATTTTCGGATATTTAATTTAGATCATATTTTTTAAAACTAAACAGAGAGAAAAACACACACGATTCCTTATCTTACTCTCTTTCTTCTTTAAATTTATTTCCATATTAAAAAAAAAACTCGAAGGACGTCTCTTATACAAAATTAAAACATCTTTATTTTATTGACTCCAAGACAACAAAGGCAAGAAACCAATTTTTCCTTTATACAATGTAATATTCTGACACTTTCAATTCTTATTGTAAACTTTTTTGAAGAATTAAAAGACTTTTCAAATTTAATATTTAAGCCTTGCTCATTCAAATTTACAAAATATAAATTAAAAAAAGGAAAAAAGAAAACGTTATTCTCCTTTTAGTTTAATAATAATGTTACTGTAACGTCCCAGAAGGTTGCTATATGAAAGTAAAAGAAGGTTCTCCTCCTACCCTATAGAAATGTAAGCCAGCATTTATATTGGTGAAAAGAGAATCTTCAAGTATTATCTGAACAATAATAGTTTGCATCAAACCCTGTAATTTTAGTGAGAGAAAAGAAATCATTGTGGATAAAATCATAAAAGAACTGAAAGAAAAATGAGAACATAGCCAAATTTATACTTTTGTTACAAAAAAATGAACTTCGTAACAAGATGGATGTAAACAATAAAAAGATTGATATAATCCTCTTTTTTTTGTTGAAAGTTTTAAATTCAGATAAAATTTTGCTTTGTGGCACTACAAAGCATCTACCTGTCACCGATTGTCCCATTGATTTCTCGGCTGATTTTTTTTTTAAATTTCGGCGATTTTCCCCGCTATCGGAGGGAGCAGCGGTGTTTATCTCTTTTAAATATCTTAGTGCCAAAATAATTATTTATTTACCGTCGTATTAAGTCGAAACCCGTGTCTCGGTCGCACGCGAGAGTTCTGATTGGTCGATAGCGATCGAGATCGGGGTGCCACACTGGCATAGGCCGATATAAACAGAAGAGTGTCGCGTGTTCTATGCCAAGTGAAATATCTGTCGCTAGAACGAACTTGTTTAACCTAAATCCTCAAATTTCTTATCAGAACTGACTATATCTAACATTTACCATTAATCGTTTACTGTTATAGATTCCGATTTTTGTGACTTTGACAGTGCCTGTTTCGCCATATGTGTTAAACATTGATTTGGAATGCTCAATCAAATATTCTCCTAAATCTAACCTATTAAGAGACAGTAAAAACACTGTGCTATTTTTTTGTAATTGGACTCCATGTCTGGACCTATGGCCACTATGGACAGCTTTCTGCTGGATGAGGACTTTCTAGATTTTTACGAACCATTGGAGTACAGTGATGGCCTGGACAGTCAAGCGTCAAATGAATCAGACGAGGAAAACATATTCTTCTTCACAGACAAACACTCGGGCAAACCTGTGAAGAAACAACAGCAGAGGAAGGCTGCTAACATGCGCGAGCGGCGAAGAATGAAGTCTATTAATGATGCTTTTGACAATCTTCGGAATTCCATCCCCTCGACCATTAACGCCGACAGAAGATTGTCGAAGGTCGACACTCTTCGACTGGCTATCCGCTACATTGGACATTTGTCGGATCTGGTGCAGACCACAACTGACTTTCCAACAGAGGCGGCAATGAAGAAAAATAGCAGAGCCCAGGATAAAATCATTGTCCGATGTCACTTCTCTGGTAAGTTAGTGAGACTAAAGCGTTGCTTGCCTTTTTGGAATAATGATGCGCCAAATTCCTAAACCTTCGAGAAAAATTTACGGTGTGATCTGATAAAATATGATAGAAAAATAAATATATTTAATCTGAACAACCTGTAGTTATATGAAAACAGAGATCGGTAAATGCACTTATTTTATATTTTTTCCCTAATAAAACAAACCTTAAACGATATTGGTAGATTTCTTTTTATTCGATATATATTAGGAGATTTAGTATCGTAAAAGACAGCCGTTTTGTTTGTTTGTTTATATTTTGGGTCATTTTTTTTTCTTTTGGATAAATTTTTGTAAAACCTGTTCCTAGTGTTCAAGTCTCTCTCTCTCTCTTTTTACATTCATCTAGGGGAAAAATCTTTAATATAAATTTATTTACTAGTCAAAAAAAAAAAAAAAAAAAGATTTAATTTGCCTCTTTTAAAAAAAAAAATATCAAATCCATATGAGCATCTCTTAAAAAGGCTGAAAAATGAATTTAGAATAAATAAATAAATAAATAAATAAAATAAAATTAAAGATAAAATAAAATTACTAAACAAATAAATACTATTTAAATAGACGACAAAAAATGTATAATAGATTTCGAAAAGCAAAACAAAACAACAACAAAATGTAAAGAAATAATTTTTTAATTTTCAAAATTTGATTTGGACAACTTTAACGTCGCCTTTACATTCTATAAAAATTCTGAATTAATAACTTAAGATTTTGTAGACCTTGTGAAGTATAAAGCAAAGAAATTTAGATAATTAATTGAATAAGTGTATTTAAAGTATACGCGACAATTTCTTTCGATTCAAAATCATGATTCACAAAAATAGTTCAATCTTAAGAAGAAAGAGCTCGGGAATCAAACTTGATAAAAGAAAGACAAGTGACAACCTTCATTAATATGCATTATTATTATTTTTTTTTTTTTAGATATCACGGATGGGATTTTAGACAACAATGAACCACTTCTTGGTCACTCATTGTCCTGGGAAATCAACAAACCCAAAAACCAAACCGGAGTGAATCGGTTCACTGCCAAAGTCTGGGTTCCGGAGATACCTACCGAATCCGACCTGATTAATATCAGCTCCTACTCAAATGACTTCCACCAATACCTGTGATGGTGTTTTCTTTTACGTCCACTATCATTTAAGCTAGGAAAAGGCAGCAGCTGGCAACGGACTTGACATGTTGTTTCTGAACGGGCTATTTGCGCTCGACCACACCTTAAAGACATGCCTAGATGTACGTGCTGCACGTGCGAAATAGACAGACGAGGTCGCCAGGAAGAAGTTTGACAGAAACAACGAATGTACCAGATTATGCAACACAACTACATGTGTACATGTTAAAATTGTTGACTTTTATTTATTTGTTAGACTTCATGCAAAACAAGTATTTATTTTATTATGTATTTTTTACCTTGTTAAATATTTTATATTTTTATATAAAAGAAATAGAGATTGATTTTTGCGATAATTATGAAATCAATGAAAGCAAAAGCGAAAACAGTGTGTATTTTTTCTCTCTTTTATTTTTGAAGTTGCCAATTCAGTAATGGCCGACAATGAAGATACTGAGTTAGCAAACATTCTGCACTGAACTTATAAACTATTCATATTTCAAGGATCTAATGAAACCAGGACAGAGAAATGCACTGCACATTTCTTAGTGTATCACGATATGAATGGAGATTTAAAAACAATCCCTAACCCACCCACCCAACCCATCAAAAAAAATATGCATAAAATAAACTTTGCATCGTTCATGAAATGCAAATTCAACACACTTGGATGTATGCATAATTATACATGTAGTAAATGATTTTATTTGTATATAGTTCTTTTCGCTGGAAACAAAAAAATTCATTGCTAATATCAATTAAAATTACGTCCATAATGGACGTATAATTTGGACTTGAATCAAAGTTTGCAGCTTTGTAGCACGCCTTTGTTCTTTGTTTGTAATAAATTGGCATCGAAACACTGAACATAAATTTTGTAAATGCAACCCCCCCCCCCCCCCCCAATTATACGTAACATAAATTTTCCATTGTAGATGATTTCCAATTTAACATAGATATACACATACGGTGATTTTCTGTGAGAAAAAAAGAAAATGCATGCAGGGCTAAATATTGTTGAAAATAAAACAAAGCTAGAACTGCAAGTATATCAAGCGCATATATTTTTTGTGATCTGCAAACGCTTAACGAACTATTACGGAACTGAAATAATTCTTTATTCTTGCTTTACAAAACAGCTGTCATAATATTATTTAAAATGGAATCATTTAACTTTTAAGTATTGTGACATAATCCGAATTTCAAACGAAATTAGAATTCAAATAAAGCAAATTTCAAAAAGGAATTGCAAAAAAGATCTCTCATCATCCCGAAATATTGAAAAGGGCACCTGCAACCAAACCTACAAGAGGTTTGACTAATTACTCATTATGACCCTTATCGGATGCCAGTAATCAATACATTTGTTCTGTAAATGTTGAAAAGACCACTTCTCAACCCGGATTACTACAAAAGGCTTAGAGAACACTTCATAACCACGCGACATAGGTAAACACAGAGGTACTCCAAAGAACGAGAAGGGGGCGTGAGTAGGAGAGAGAGAGAGAGAGAGAGAGAGAGAGAGAGAGAGAGAGATGTGTTACATTAAAAGTTTAATACAGATAAGTTTAAACTTCAGATTTAAACTTTTAATATTACACATGTACATGTAGCATCGGTCTTTTTTTTTTTTTTTTTACCACATTTTCAGTTTACATTCCATATATTAAAACCTTTAATTAATAACGATATTTTTTTTTCAATATAGATGTAAGATCGAACAAATTTGAAAATCTGATTAATCTAAGTCTTTGATGTGATCAATATGTTTACATAGATATGGTATAATAACCATTCATTTTTGTTGAAATAGGTAATGGAAACAATTAGAAAAAACAGTGCGAAGTTTTTGTCAATGTTTTCACAACAAACGTTTTTGAAGCTAATCGATCTGTTTGGTACATGTATTTGTTTAACTGTACAATTATTGATCATAAAACACGGTCGAGACTTTACAAAGTAACGGTATTTTGTCCTTACTTAACAGGACAGTAGCTCTGGGAACTCGTCAGGTGACGCACTCTACGAGACTTTGCCGAGACGAGATTTCAGCAGTCGGCTGCAAGCTCTCCCACGGATTAGTTGATAGTTGTGTATCTCTGCTGTTTATACAGTAGCAACAAACCTTTGTAAATATTTTTTGAAAGTCTATATTAAATAATTAAATTATCATATTGAAATTCGCTGCGCACGCTATAATAATTTTCACAGGTCAGGCCCGTAGCAACGGTTTAAAAAAAAAGGGGGGGGGATGGCTTCCCAAGAAATCTGACAAGAAAAAAAAAATAAACTGACCAAAAAGTTAGGGGGACAAATTTCCAAAATAAACTGACAAGCAAAAAATAAATCTAATTACCTGTTCTCCTGGAAATTCGACCCTTCAGCAACAAAAAGTGGGAAGGGGGAGGGGGCAACCAGCATCTAAAGAAAGGAAAATTTACTATAGCAACATACTATCTCAGAAAAAGTACCCCCCCCCCCCCGGTGTTCTACGGGACTGCATGTAACTTGCTCTAGCAATTCCTAGTTAGTTAGTTTGTTTCTTTTTTTAAGTTGGAAACATTCATTGTAATCTATAATATCCATTTAAATCCCTACAAATGTAGAACAGAACTTACTACATCTGCATGTACATTCTGTCATGTTTTAAAATTTGTAGCATTTATTATCGGCCGCAGGAGCGGTCGATCTATTTGTGGTTGTGTTAGAATGTCTACATGGGGAAATGAGACGTTATTGAAAAATTCTTTATTGATAACATACATAAGAATTATGGACGAAATTTTAAAATTTGCTTAATACTGTCTAAATCTAATTACGTTTCACTTAGTTCTTCATTTCTCATCAGATATTAATTAATCTATGATTTTATATATATAAAAAAAGTTGTTACATGAACTACTCCACAACATGGGAGTATGTGAGATTTAAAAACGAAACGTAATGTATTAATTACAGTACCAAAATGATAGCTAGAGGAATTTTTTAATACAATACAGTTGCTAACGACACAGTGGTATTTTTTTTTCTCGACAATTTGCATTTATTGTGATACACGTCTATCACAACGAAAACTTCGGCATTATCACGAGTCAAAGATCCAGTGTATGAGCACGTGAAGAGTTTTCACGGCCTGTTGAGACAGTCGTAATTATTGATTTAAAATTATTTTATACTTGTCTTCTTCATCTTGTAATAAATTATTTTGCGATGATATAAACCTATCCTTTATCTCCGATTTCCGTATCCATAACTTTAAATAATTTTAAAATAATAGGTAATTCGCTGAAAATTAAGTATTTAAAAAATACACAGAAATTTAAATTAGTTATACTGTTTTGCAAGAAAAAATGCATCATTCGTATACTTTTTCTACTTCGAAATTAGTTTTCTTTGGACTCTTTCATATTGAAATACTTTAAAATGCTAATAAACATTCTTGCGGCCGATTTGACGCTTTGTATCAGTTTCACTTGTGTTATCTTGTTTTGTGTTTATATTCCCAGGACATGTTGTCGTTTTGTACATATTGTCGTTGGCGACAATATGTACCTACCCTCACTGCACATATTGTTGTCCATCGGTACATGTCGCCGGCGACAATATGTACCGAGAAGAGCCTTATTTTCCTCCTGCATAATGGACGACAAAATGTACAGTCAAGCACCAGCACATATTGTCGTCGGCGACAGTATGTACAGTCAAGGTCGGTATATATTGTCGTCGATATATATTTACTTGAGAAAAGAAAGAGAAATTGACAAACACACGCACGCACAGCATTACTCGCAATACTGTAGGGAGAAAACTTTTTGGTCAGAAAATTGTGTCCAGGATTGATGTACATCACTATGACATATCAAGATACCGTAATTCTTGAGATATCTGATAAATCAGCTTTTCTTTTTTTCTTGTAATATAATTATACTTGGAGATTGAATACAGGTATTTTTTTTGTTCAGTAGTAATGATTATTTGGAAATTATTCTTATATATACGATCATGTGCCGATATAATATTATAAATATAATTTATTGTTAATAATAATATAAGAATAACGCAAAAAATAACATTTTTAGTTCACCTGAACTGTAAGTTCAAGTGAGCTTTACTGATCACATTTTGTCTGACCGTTCGTCTGTCTGTAAACTATTCATAATTTCAGCTTCTTTTCAAGAACTACTGGGTCAATTTCAACACATTTTTACAACAAACAAACAAACAAAAACAAAATCAATTTTGTTCACGTCATGACCACAGGGTCAATGTGGGGCCACAATGGGTGATCAAAGTTTTACATAGGAATATATACAGAAAATCTTTAAAAATCTTCTCAAACACCAAAGACAGATGTAGCACCCCCCCCCCCTCGCTTGGTGGTTTGATTTTTTTAAAATTTATTAATTTTTTTTTTTGCTTTGGTAAATTCTGTTTGTTTAACTCGTATATACTTAGTCCACAGGTAAAGTTTCATAATTAAATAATTAACTTAACATATACAATAACACTGATGGACGACAATATGCGCAGTGAGGGAAGGTACACATTGTCGCCGGCGACAATATGAACAGGACGACAAAATGTACCGTCACAATCACAATCAAGAAATAGCATACGAGACACGTCAGTGTGATTCTCACACCAATTACATTCACAAAACTACCAAAAAACAGCAAAAGACATCTTTAAACAACAATATCTATGGGGCGACAATATGTACAGTGAGGGTGAGGCACATAATGTCGCCAGCGACAATATGTACATATGTAACTTTTCAGTCGGCGACAATATGTACAGATGGACGACAATATGTGCAGTGAGGGTAGGTACATATTGTCGCCGACGACAATATGTACAAAACGACAATATGTACCGTCACAACGTGACAATAGTGCGAAGAAAGATAACCCAGAAATTGTTCAAGAAAAGCCAGTTGGGGATGTTTCTGCAATAATATGGTTGGCAACACACGTTCTCTGATTTTACTGTCATTTTCATGAAAACGAAATATGATGTATTCACCATCCTCATTTTGAACTCAAACAAAAACAAAGTTTGGGTCTCAAAATTGTATAAAATCCTGCCCGACTTTCAACCCTTTTTAACGATCCTACACTGAAGTTCTTTCTACGATCATTAGCAGAAAATGTTGATCAATCAAGGTACACTTCATCCACCTTTTATCATATTTAATTTTTTTTTTTTTTTTTTTTTTTTTACTTTATATTTGAATGACTTTTATAGTGCATCTCTTCGCTCCAAATGCACACAAAAAATCAAGCCATTTAGTTTTTGAAGTAGTTAACAGTATTTGATTTTTTAAAATCTGTTTCTTGTATACTAGTATTTGCACGTTATGACAAAGTCAAAATTATTCGAATTCGAAATAAGAATTATTCTAATTCGAAAATAAGGTCATAATTCAATTTTTTTTTCATTTTTTTTTTTTTACAATTATAAATCTTTGCTTTTTTAATAAAAAAAAAAAAAAAACAGAAAGGAAAAAAGCTGTTCTAAAATGAGGAATCTTATATATATATATATATATATATATATATATATATATATATATATATATATATATATATATATATATATATATATATATATATAATTATCACATTTAATAATATAATAATAAAAGATTTCAGTGAAATAATATAAAAAAAAAATAAAATATAGCTATATATTTTTTTAATTTCGAAATACCCTTTAACAAACATCAATGCAATAAGCCAATCTCTTACAACAATGCTACGTTTTTGTAAAACCTTGTTTCAAGGAGTTGTCTCCAAAACATCAAAATCCTATCAAATATAAACAACAGTTCATTTAGCAATGCTAAAAATAGAATGTGTAATGAAATATTGCACAGGGTACCATGGTTTTTTTTTTTTTACTGCACGTATGTGCATTGATCAAAAGTGAGCTCCTCTTCAGTATTAGGCATCTGATGTAAGGCAAACCCACTGATAGATCGAAATATGGCACAGGTGGGGAAAAGCAATACTTGTCTGGGACTGGATTTCTGTGTGAACACATATTTAACAACAAGAACTTTCTCGGCACTAACAGAAATAAATCAGAAACTATAAACAAGTAACAGGGTTAATCATACAGTAAACAATGAAGGTTAACGGTATCGCAAATATGCAGCCTCTTCATAAATGATTTTATGGAGCAAATCTATATTTCTTCAAGAAAAAATATATCGTCAAATTATCTACTCACACCTATAACAATTGCGATTAAGGTGGAATTGTACTCCTTTACTTGATTTAGTAGAAAGGGAATGATTGTCAGCTCTAACGACAACGCCTGGGCGAGGAGAAAATTCGGACTTTACACATTACCTCGAGGCCCACAATGCAACGCGAATACATCTTAATTGTTGCTAACTTCGTTCTCGTGTTAACAACAAGTAAAAATTCACAAAAAATAAATTTATCTTGATTTAATGGATATCGCATACAGAAAGTAGATTAAAGGTTCTTTGTAAACATTATGCATCTTTTTAAACTTCGTTTATGGCAGCTAACATTCGACGTCATGTGACGTCACAGTCTAGACTTTCTAAATGAAGAGGTTGATCTTAGTTAAAAGTAAATAATACACAACTGCACTCTCCTCAACGGTCGCACCGTCAACATATTTATTAATTATTTAGATTTTTTGTTGTTTTCACTATGATTGTCAAAGACTTGTAGAAAATCGAGGTTGTGTAACAGTTTAGCTATGATCTATTATTGACTACGTAAGTTGCCACGTTTCCATTAGAATAAGCTATAGCTAACATTGGTTTGGAGTCACGGTGAACAAATATTGCTGCTTTGCAAGGTTCATCATTGTCTAGCTCCGTTTCTACCATTCCCAAAAATCGCCCGGATGGAGAAACTACATGTAGGCGGTTAGAGCGGGAATCGATTACAATAACATATCGATCACGAGGATTAAGAGCCAACCCGTTCGGCTCTCTAAGTGGAAAGGTCTCTGTCCCTTGATATTTCTGGAAAATGTGCCCACGTCCCGACATTTTCACGAATATCACACTCTTTTTCTGAAAATCAGTGACCATGATCCTGTCGTCAACCATTGAAATGCCACGAGGGTACGAGAGGAAAGTCCTTCCGGTATTTTCTGGATAACAAGATGTTAATATACGGCCGTCACTGTCCAGAATGTCGATCCCGGGCGGTGAAAAAAACTGAGACAATGTGGCTCCAATAAAAGTCCTATCGTCTGGATTGTAGGTTAGAACAGAGTAACCTTTCTTTGTTGCTATCTTTCTCTTAATCATAAGGTCTGGTTTTATGAAAAACATAATATAAATCATCTTAGCATCTGGAACTGTAATGGCGCTGTACTTTTCAGGCATATTGGCGATATCCCAGGGTTGGAAATTCCCAAGAGAGAAAACATGAACAACATTTCCACTGCTGTGAACGACCTTAAGTCGGTGATTCCATCTATCTGCCAGAAGTAGATACTCGTGGTCAATCCAGGCGAGTCCAAATATCCTTGGTGGCTTCATATCTCCAATTGCTGTAGAAGAAGCTTTCCAACACATTTGTAGACAAAGACGTGTACCTGGTCTGTCACGTGATCGCGTTCTGTCCACTGATTGGTGGTGATTAGGATGGTGGTGTTGATGACGTCTCTGAGGTTGAGGAGATCGTTCGCTAGAGACCCGAGGTCTGCCAGAGATTGCATACCGAACTGGTTGCGGTGAGCGAGGAGGTCTAGCTTGGTCCTCAGATTCTGTAGACCATGAACTACCCTCAGTTCTATCCATCAAATTTGGAAGCGGAGCTGAGGGTATAGGACGGAGATGATGGAATTGCCTCGGTGAGCTCCCAGAAATGACGTCAGATAAAGCAGGCTTCGTCTGATCACCAGTTGGGTATATTCTAGGTTCCTCTTGTTGTTGAGGAGTTTGCCTTGAACTCTGTTCTGAGAAAATCCCTGGGTATGGTGGCGGTGGTTCTTCGGTGTTGCTTATTTCTATAAAAACGTTGTTTTGTTCAGTATTATGACAAGTCTCAGTGATTTCATCGTTTTCCTGGTCAGATTCGCTCTCGGTCTCAGATGTAACAGAACTTGATGAACTATTAGAGTTATCTGTCCTATCTTGGTCGTTAACATCGCTTGAATTTTCTTCAGTTACTTCTTCAATTGGTCTTTCTTCGTTGTGGACTATAGTAGTATCCTTCCGATGGTCGTACTGTCTTGTGTTGAGAACTTCTATCTTTATAAGATCTGATGACGTCATGGCGTCTTCCAGCTCAGTATTGATGATAAAACGTGTTTCTGGTGGATCCAGTAAGAATTTGTTTTTCATGGAATTCATTTGAATGAGATGTCGGTTCATTCCGGAACAAATTCGAAACATAGATGTTTCACAAATTTTATCGGAGGCATCGCAAATTTTCTTATATATCTTTGACTTCTCCTCCACATCTTCTAACATTGTCGTACATAATTTCAAATCTTCTGCAAGAAGATCCTTTTCTAGCGACACCAAATGATCTAAATCCTCTTGGACTTTCTGTTCCTGTTGGAGGAGATATTGTGTTACTTTCTGTCGAAGATCTGAGAAATAATCCGAGATACCTAACGCCGTCTGTTCTTTTTCCATTAGGAGTTGTCTTCCTTTTGGCAATAAAGTACCATGAGTGTCCGTAAACTCTGACACCATTTGTCGCAATTTCTTCATTAAGACATCTTTAATTTCTTCGAATACTTCTTTTAGCTGTTCGCCAGGCCTGATAATTTCGCAGTTGGTATGCCCTTCTTGTCGACAGAGAACACACAAAGGCACGACACATGTCTTGCAGTAACTGTCTATATCAGCACGGAGGTGAAACTTACATTCGATGTTTTTTTCTTTGGCTAATATAAATTCCTGTGTTACATCATCTTCCGGAAGGGACTTGATGTATGTATCATCTACTTCCGGGTCAGCATTTATGCAATGCTTACATTTCGGACAAGGATAAGTCGACTTTCCATTAAACTCTTCAAGATATGATCTGATGCACGTGAAGCAGAAGCCGTGGCCGCAAACCAAACGCCTTGGTGATTGAAGAGTGTTCTGGCATACTGAGCAAAGTGACAAGGTAGTGACTTGATCCATCTTAACCTAAAGTAGAAAATGAATGACACTACGGATGTTCAAACATTTTGACAGCTTGCTAATGGAATTGAACAGCACTATCATAAGAGATTTGAACTCTTTGATAACTAATTCCTTATTCTAAAACTCTATTCCTGTATCAAATTACCTCAAGGTAAAGCACGCCCATTTTAATTTATTTACATTTTATTGACAAAATATGGCACTTTATAATGTTTAACGGACAGAAAATGTATTCGGTGTTTGATTTTCTCACAAGAAAGTATCATGCATCTGTTCCGCACTCATTACGATTTACATAATTAAATGTGTTATACATTTGTATATAAAAATTAAAAAAAAAAGTATTTACATGTAATACAGTGTGATTTTTACAATAACAAGACATACTGAATAATAATATTGAAGTGTTTGAAGATGTCCAATATCGTAAAAGCAAGAATTTAATTACTTTAAGACAACTCACTTTCAAATTACACTTTATGTATCATTCTATTTTCGTCTCTTTATAAACGTCATTGAAAAAAAAAATTCTAAAGCAAATCTTTGCAAAAACTGGGAAAAGGAGGAGGATCAATGATCTTCTAAAAAGCACCGACAAGATTCTCTAGTATAATTTTTATTTTTGGCTATTTAAGACACTCCTCTGTTTTTCTGAATATCAATCTTTCTTTTGAATACAGAGCATTGCCGATACACCCTTTTTGAGGAAGTTCCACGAAACGTGAAGGTAATATTGATTATTGCTGATGAATTTATTATTAACATTCTCCAATGAATGTACGATTTAATTTGTGCAGACCTCTGCTTGTCACGTTACGGACGAATGCTTATTCTTAAATTACATGTCCAAGACTGAGAGATAATATGCAATTAATTATAAAGGCCATTTTTAAAACTCAACAATACCTTTTTATAAGTCTTTAGATTGATTGCTAGTATGAGTACTAAATTAAAAAGATCTTTTTAGTCTATTATTCAGTCTCCACCTTTTAAACATTGATATACATTTAATGGGAAACAAAATAATACAATTTCACATTGATTAAAACGATTTTACTCATTTTTACGTTCTTTGAAAAATATTTTTAAGTAGGTATTTTGCAATATCGATTAATACATTTATCATTGTGTAGCCTTTCCAACCCTAAGATACGAAATTGTACAAATGAAAACTTTTCTATCATACTTACGAGAATATAGTTTTGATGACCTCTGTGCAAATATTTTGGAATTTATCATAGTGAACAGACTGCCCAATATTACGCTAATAGATTTGATCAAATGATCGACTTTAGACGGACGTTTGTTTACAATCCACCCGCAATGTAAGAGTTAGAACCTAAGTCGGGTTTTAAAATCCCGATAAGCTGGATAAGAAAATAAAAAATTGAGAGGGGGTGGATCCATGATTTTATTATTAGCTGCCAAGGCAGGAGAGCAATAGAGATGTTCCAGTTTGTTGGAAGAGGGAGATAAATTAACAAAGTATAAAGTATTTTTTCAGAAAAGTATGTAGCTCAAACCGATCATATCATTAAAAGAGGAGGGTTTTTAGTTAAAAAAAAAAACCCTCATTAATTTCATCAAGTATTCATTTTGATTAACAAAATCCACCCCGCCCCCCCCCCCCTTTACACACACAACATATACACAACACCAAACAACAACACCACCACCAACATTTACAACAACAACATATATATATGATATAAATCTATTATTATGTGGTGATGTTAATTTGCCTTTACAGATAAATAACAGTATTTTTGCTGCTGTTCATAAATTTATTGACGAAACATGTAGATTTTCTAGTTGATATACTATTTAATTGCTTTTTCACTTGTATTAATTGTATTATTTTCTTCTATTTTGCATGACAAATTGTTATATATAAGGAGAGGAACTTTGTAAGTTGTAAAGAACTTGTTTCCAATCCTTTTGATGTACTCAATAAAATATGTTCAAAACAACAACAACAACCCAAAAAGTATTTAAATGTGGTTTGTAAATTTTAAAAGAAAGAAAATCAGAGGTATAAAGCTAATTAAATGGGTCCTTGCATTGTGGTATATCATTAGAAATAAACACTTGTTAATCACATGCAGGCATATGTGCTTTATTCTGATGGATAAATATTTTGACTGCTGTGACATTTAAAATTTTCAATTAAATTCTTTGGATTTTATTATGAAGCCCGTTATTTTGAGATACTGTAAGATGATGTGTTTGAAAATTTTTGTGAACCCGCGCATTAATGTGCACAAAAATCCGATTGGCCAATACTTGTATATACTTGGATATATCTACTTATCATATTATTGCCTAATTTATTGAAGACTATATGAAATCCCGCGCAAGCGAGGGAAATTGAATTTTTACCAATGCTGACTGATCATTTCCAATTATAAATCTTATAGTTTCTAGTGACAATTGATAACTGGCTTATAGCAAGAAAAAATACTTTATATTTGAACAATAACTTATTCATTTATTGACTTTTCTCTTTAACAAGTCTATCTTCAAATTGTACTTCGGGTTCGTTGCTATTATGCTCTCCGTGGCGAATATGCACATTTTACTAAGAAATTTTTAAGCACAACTTACTAAAAACCTTTGATATATAAATATATTCATAATATTATCAGTTGCTTTGCCATTATTTCCATGCCCATTCACATTAAAGTTTATTTAATATATTCATGTAGTGATTATAGCCTCATTTTTCTTTTTAACATCGGGTTCGATGCCGTCTGACGTTCTAGAAATTTCCATCAAGAGTCAGATCGAATATAAACGAAAAGGATTTGCACATTTTATTTTTTGATCAGTAATCAAAATTTATTTATTCTATATCACTTTAATCAATTTTTGATTGAATAATGCATTAACGACGTTTTATCAAATAATTTAACGATTGCTTGTTGTCAGTTTCATTCAAAATCGTCAGTAACTTAGATCCGTCAACCGGAACCACCACCTATTCTCTTTAGAGAAGTGGACAGGCTTTCGCCTACATCCACTTCTCTTCGCAAGCCTTCATGTTTTGATTCTGGAAAACGTGTAAATCTCGAACCGGTGACGGTCTACACTTCAACTGACATTTCGTCTAAAATACGTCTGAATGTACGTAATAGACGTGTTATATTATCAATTTTAACATAAATACACACAATTGTCACAAGAAAACTGACCTTTAAGTATTGTTAATCCATTTTCACAAGTTCTCCATCCCGGATTTAAATTATGTGCAAGTAACTCTTGAAGTATTCAAAAATCTCTAATTCGGATAAAAATGGAAACTATTTTTACAAAATAATAATGAAACGAGAGAAATCGTCTACTCTGTTTAAACTAACGAGACAGGTTCAAATTCTTTTGATCTTTGTTTTGAATCTTTTTTTTCATTTCTCGGGAAAGGTAGAGTTAATATCGTTTAAAAATAATAGAAAATATTTTTGTATTGTCAGTGAGGAAGTAATGAAGTATTTTTTAAGCTCAAATTTACATTTAGATTGTATTAAAATAGTAAAAATAAGTAAAGGTAATAATATTAATTTTGAATAATATGCTAAATCAAAAGTGAATTGTCCAAAACTTTTTTTGAACATTAAAATACGTCTTCGCCAATTTTTCCAAATTATCCGATTTAAAATTTTCATTTTTTTCTAATAAGCTGTGGTAGATAAACATTAGTTTAAATCCGGGATGGAGAACTTGTGAAAATGGATTAACAGTACTTAAAGGTCAGTTTTCTTGTGACAGTTGTGTGTATTTATGTTAAAATTGTTAAGATAACACGTCTATTACGTACATTCAGACGTATCTTAGACGAAATGTCAGTTGAAGTGTAGACCGTCACCGGTTCGAGATTTACACGTTTTCCAGAATCAAAACATGAAGGCTTGCGAAGAGAAGTGGATGTAGGCGAAAGCCTGTCCACTTCTCTAAAGAGAATAAACCACCACCGTACTCTCTTATTTGCTATTTCACGACTGTTTATCGAAAATGAAAGTAGACTTTTAATTAAATTTACGAAAATTACTATGCAAGTGAAATCTAAATATAGTTTACGGACAACATGTCATGCCTGTAATATTAGAGGAGTAGGTATGAGTTCTGGTGCAGGTGTTTCAGAGGATTTTTTTTGCAAATTTGTTAATTCATAAGTATAGATTATAGGAAATGGGGCACCATAAGGGAGTGGGGGAACCGATTTGGGGATCGAACATATCTGCTACGGCCCCCTTTACAATTAAAATACTAGTTCTATAGTACTATTTGTTATTGCTATTGAATTATATTTGTTTCCTATATAATTTGAAGCGCACTATTATTTTTATTTTTCCCGCGCACCGAGTTACGGAAATTCAACTTACATACAACGTCATGTAGTTCGAATCCCTCTCTGGGACGTGGAGATCGGTCCTTCGGATGAGATCGTATAAACCGAAGCCCCGTGTCGCAGTAAGTGCTGGCAAGAAAAAGATCCTTCACTGCTCAATGGCCCTGAGTGTCGAGTACAGGTCAAAATTTGCAGCTCTCCACCGGCAAGTGTTGGCGCCTCCATATGAGTGAAAAATTCTGGAGAGGGACGTTAAACAACAATAAACAAACAAACGATGTCATTTGACGTCACAGTTTAGACTGTCTCATGCAGTTTGAAGAGGCGGATCAGAGTTTAAAGTGTAAGCTTTGTAAAGGTTTCTGATGATATACAACAGCGCTCGCTCCAACGGTGGCAACGTAAAACATATTTACTGAGCAGTGTATTGTTCTGAAAAGAGAACCAGTTTTAAATTGTGTATAAATATTTTCTGAAACACGATTAAAGTTATAAAATTCAAATCTTATACAGTACAAATTTTGATGCACCAGATGCGCATTTCGACAAATTATGTCTCTTCAGTGATGCTCATGCCGAAACGTTGGAAATCCAAACTATTTAAATTAAAAAAAAAATGGAAGAGCTAAAAAAAAAAAGGGGGGGGTGGTGGTGCCAAAGACTGGAGCCAAACACGTCGAAGGATCAGAGCTATGCACGAGAGTGTTTTCCATGTTACAGTATGTTTAATTCTTTAATTGAACTGATTTACATGTTTTAATCTTTTTTTCTGATGTTTTTTACGACACTAATGAGGCGAAACCTTGTTATCAAATAAAACTTTATATTTCTTCAAATATTTATTCCATCAACAAATATTTTCCAATTCGATCAAAAGCAGTAATTATTAAATAATTATGCAGTAATTATTTCAGCTTAAAAATGAAATGTATAGAAAGGGGAGGTCTTTTGTTATGTTTAATAAAAAAAAGAAGAGATTTTATTACTTTTTATTCCTTTTCCTCATTTAGATATTCTGCGAACAGCTATCTCCTTCCCGACACTAGAATCTCATGGGGAAAAAGGGCCTTTCAGGCTGTGTTGTGTGTCTTTCATTACTACATTTAATTATTGGAACATTTCGCCCTGTGTTCCCATTGTTCTTTTTTATGGAATGCTAGATAATGCATGTTTGATTGATTTATCACTAAATCGTGTAATACAAACTATGTAATGCATGTACAGTTTACAAATTGTTGTGTGTATTTTGTCAGGTAAACTGTACCTACATGTATAAATGAAAATACTTGATAAAATACATGCATGGATAAACAAAAAGTTAAAGCATTTACTTCCGTCACCCCCACCCCATCCCAAGAGACAATCTTTAGCAAGTGATTTGAAAATACGTACGTTAATGATTATAATTGCTTTCCCTCACATGCCAGTCGTATTCGTTGCTTAAGAATTATCTGTTGTAATTTATTGGACTAGTAACCACTAATTTTAAATGTTTTCCGGTTTGTTCTGGCACGTACTATTTTTCCTTTAAAGAATTTTCAAGTTTGAAAAGAAAAAATACCGTCAAAGTTAAACTTTTTTACGGTAAAGAAATGTTCGTATGTATTGTAGTAATAAATACCTTATAGGTATATTAACATTGAGGCAATATCGAATTTTTATATAATTATAGGGTTTAATACTGGCCAGAAAAATATCAATAAACTTCAGCCACATGTTTTACAACTTTCGCTCCCCCATCCCTCCTAGTATTCTTATTTCGTACATGTGTACGTTTTGAAATTCCTGCTTTATGTGAGTTTTTTTTTTTTTGCTTTTGTAGAATGATATGGATATTTGAATAAGAAGCCGAACTAAAGATTTGCTTTGTATACTGTTTGCAATTTGTTAAGCTCCGTCGCATGCGACCTCATGTTATATATAAATGTTTTTAGTTTTTTTTTTTAAATAAATAAATAATTTATATGTTCGGTTGAACTGGTGAATTAAAACATAATTCACAATCATTGCTGCACAAACATTTTCCCTCGCTTGAAATCACTTCAAATATGTTAATAAGAAGATTCAAAAGCTATTTTTCTCCTTAGGTATAATCTGGTTATATATGGACTATACAATAACAAAACAAATTGATTACCAATTTATTTCTATCCAATATTGAAATACAGATTTGAACACAGGTATCACGATCTAATCATAGTGGCTGAAGTATGTAAGTTTTTTTTAATATATGACAATAAATCATTATTTTTTCTTCTTATGCTTTGCAATGTTTTCTTTGGCTAGTTTGTATTTGGGATCTAGGTCTAAAGCACATTTAAATGCACCTAGTGCTTTGTCCTTGTCCTTTGTCTTCTGTAGGGTGTAACCAAGCAATGCATATGCCCTGGGGTCTTTGACTCGGTTACACATCTGTTCCATATCTTGTACAGTGGTGATTATGTCTCCTTCCTTTTTGATTCGGATAAAGCATTCGATTAACAAATAATATGCGTAAATAATGGACAAGAGTTCAATACTTCCAGTCGCACTTATTTCCTTTTTTAAATTTTCGTCCATTGTCATTGATTCCATCTTGCCGTAGTAGTTAACGCTAGTAGGGTTTTCTATTTCTGATTCCACGGCTTTTCGTAAGATTTTGATTGCGTCTGCATATTTCTCACAAGAACACAGGAAGTGGCCATATTCTACAAATAAACCTGCGCCATGACCTTCGCCCTCACGATTCATTGCTTCCTGAAACATTGCGTCAGCTTTTTGTAGTAAATCCCGTTTGTTGGCCTTGAATACACAGGAGGCTGCATGGTATAGACAGGCCAGGTGCTCATAGAGTCCTGCACCTTTCTTGCCATCTACGTATCTGGTGATTAAAAATCGACAGAAAGTGATGGGTTTCCAAATTTCTTCAGTCTCTAGAACGTTACTAAACTCGATGTTCTTCTCATTCAAGAGGTGAGGGATGTACTCTCTTTGTCTCTCCGCCTCAGGTTTTCCATAAATCGGGACAACAAAATTATCTATGACGTCTTCAAAAATGGCAGCACAATGATCAAACCCGTATTCATGATAAAATCCATTGCACAGTCCATTGCACACTAACATGAAACTTTCTACCGATTTTTGTGCTTGGCTAGATGACTTGTATCCCTTTGCGTCTACCAAAACCTGAGCAAACATCTTTTTCACATCTGTGTTGTATGGAAAAATATCCAGAATTGTATAATTTTCGGCAAGAGAAAATAGTTCTTCCAAAGGTCTTCGCCTTATTGTGGTAAATCTTCTCTCTAATTGAGAAGACTGAAGATCAGTTAAATAATCTAAGAGATTGTTCTTTTTGACAAAGTAGTCGGGGAGAAATTTTTGTTTAATTGCGTCTACCAACTGGTCTAAAAGATAAAGAACACAATAAGCTGGGTTCTTATACCACAGACTAGTTCCCAGGTTCTCGCATGCGTAAAAGAAGATTGAACGTATGTGTTGTTGAGTAACCATCCCCTCTGATATCACATGAACACAGAGCATATTAAACAACAGAAAACACTGTCTTTGGGAATCGGATAGTTCTTCTATTATCAGTGTCTTCTCGGCAAGAGAAAATGAAATTTTCCATTCGATGTCGGATTGGGAGCTTTTACAGTGGGCAGAGGGAACTATATGGCAGCCAGCGGACATCACTTTCTCTATCGTGCTCTCTGATGGCCAATTCTGAAGACGTTTTCTTGATCTCCATTCCTCTGCTTGTGATGGCCATCCAGGATAGTGAAGTGCCAGTTCATGCATGACCTCTGACTGTTCTACTTCCGGTATAAGGCCAGTTTGTTCTTGAGATTGTATTTCTTTAAACTTTACCTGCCGTGCGCTAACTAACACACCACGAAGTCCTTGTGAGGTAAATGGGCGGCGGAGATCGAGAGAATCCTCGGGAATTCCCGTGAATATATCTGAAAATTTCATATCGAGACCATTTCCTGTTCCGGTATTTATGAGGGTATCCAACATAGAATCTATTGCTTTTTTATTCGAAGAAATCTTACTCTGAAATTTTTTCCTTGACAAGCTGCTGCCTAGGTAAATGATGCCTTTTTTGGTTACAGATAAATCTGCCTCACTTTCGTTACTGCCATTTTGCAGAACCTTTAATCGACAATACCCAGCGTGAACGTTTTCAGTTGATATAACATAATGATAGGAGTCTGCATCAGTAACAGAGGGAAGCGCTATCTCAGCATCTTTAACGTGATGGAAAACTACAGTTGGTTCTTTGATCAAGTGCTTTTTGGCAAATGTTCCATCTGGTTTCAAGATCACAAAAGCCGGAAGTCTAAGTCCCTCGGCAAAACTTCCCACGACCGTCTGAGTCTTGGTGGGATTAAGGGTTTCCACATAACGACGTGGAATAAAGCTATGGACGAAGAAAGACAGATGCAGGTAAGGGAGGTTACTAGGTACATCATTTCCGGTAAGGAAATCCTCCATTACTTGACTCTCCGCCATTTTACGGCAGTACCTAAAATGAATACATTGAATGAAATTTTGTTGATTTGCCTGTCCGGAGACTTATAAATCCCATTTTAGTTTCAATGAAAATAAACCATGCTTAGTGGACAAAAACTTTCAAAAAAAGAACAAATATGCGTTCATTTACCCGGCTACTTATCTTAATAGAACAGAAAACTTACCACGCCATTTTCAACAAATGAAACGTGTTTGAATTACAACACAGAAAATACATTCATCATGCACAAGAAATTGTTTTTTAATTCGATCAATATCTAAGTTGAGGTGATAACTTCATATTTGCACGACTGATTTCGCCTATCATTGAGATATGGTCATTCATGCATTATGTATGAAACCACTTCGTTGTGAATGATGTGAACCAAATCAATACCTGTGTTTAAATCACCCGTTTTGCTTACCTTTTATATTGTTTAACATAGAAATTTTAGGGGAAGAAACATTTTTTTCCATTCATAAGATATCGTTCAATTTGTTTCAATTAAAACAATCTCGCATCATGAGAGATTTTTATTTTGAAAAGTTTTTTAGTTTTCTTTTTTTTATGGTCACAAAGGATGCTTTTTGAAATATTTAGAAATATTACAATTTTCACGTCACATTGATACAAGACGTTGAGACAAATATGACAACGAAATTATCCATGGTAATTAGAACGTGGAGTCCAGTCTCAACTTGCTGAACCTAATTACGGTGGGATAGCATGCTAGTATGTGGTGTCAAAGATGTTGAATTCACAGGAGTCTTTACTCGGACTTACTGAGAACACTGGTCAATTTCCAAAACTAGTTAAAATCAGACTTGTCAGATCCGCTTCGTATATAATCTGCATCTTCTTACACAGAGTGCATACAGCGCGGATCTAAGAGTCAGATTTTAATTAGGTCGGTCGATTTCTATATGAATCCATTGTATGACTCTCTTATTAGTTTTCAGAAATATTTTAAAACTTACCTTTTTAGAAATGTTTTTAAGGACATTTTAAAAAAAACTGAACTTTCTTAACTTATTTTATTTTATTTTTTTTTTAAATCTCATTAATAATGCTACATTAAGAGCAAATTGTCCACCATTTTATGTTAATACATATTTGTTAAGCGCTTTAGAGCAGTTAAAAAAATATAAAATATATTATACGTTATAAAATCTGTCAAATAATAAATAAATGATGATTGTCTTCAACAGTGGTAAAAGAAAAGTTACAGATTTTTTAGTGTATTGAACATTAATTTGGCTACTTTCAAAGACGAAAATAATCATAAAAGGCTTGCAGAAATGGTATAAATCGTATGGGGAATGCATAACTGGATCGATCCATTTATATATATGTGAAATATATTCTCTTACCCGTACACCAAAAGGTAATGGTATTGTTATGAAGATTGAAGTCAACATGCCAGAACAAGACGGAAATATAATTCTAAAATCTAAGTTACCAACAAATATCCTCAAGTTTATAGTGGATGAGGAAATCTTGATTGTTTCTATTTGTTTATTTCAAAAATGTGTAACTCAGAAGTTGTATATTATGAACTCTTAAATCAGGAAATTATCTCTCCACATGTATAGGGCATGATAATAATTTTTTTAACACAGGATTCAACACGAGGTTAAAAAAATAGAGACTTATCAAAATACACTTATCGATTTCTCTGTTACCTGTGTATGCGATACCTAAACATAAAGCAACCATTGGGAATCAGAAAAGCATAACTGAAATACATTACCTTTTAAATATTAGGCATTCAAAAATTCATTTGGATTCCATGTTAACTGGAAAACGTGTCCGTGAATTCTCTGTTTCATGGAGGTGGTTGGTTACGGCATGTAAACAAAGATGGCGGCAACCCATGATAAATAATGTACGGGCTTCTACAAAATCGATACAACAGAAGAATTATATTTAAATACCTGGGATTATCTTAATAAATATCAGAATCAATTCACAGACCTTACATTTTTACATGGCACTTTGTCAATGTAAACTTTTAAATGTCCATGCGGGATACGTGTACTAGACAGGTTTTCTGAGGGACGAAGGAGAGAAAAAGAAAAAAATTGTTTGATCCTCTTTCCAATTTCTCACCATTTTAATCCGCGATAAAGTACAATTTTCCCTGAAAAAAAGTTATCTTAAATTCTGTGGTCAGTGTAACGTCAAACAATGGAGATCAAAATATTAAAATAAATCATTTAGTTTTCCACAATATAATTTACCGAATAAATTTTCAGAAATTACAGAAAAAGATGGTCTTTGAACCCAGTTTTCCCCACTGACATTAAATTTAGTCTCGCTTATTAAATTTTTGTTTGTTGGTTTTTAAAAATTGATTTTTTTCCCTTGCTATCTACTATACATTTGAAATTTCTAGATAATTCAAATTGTTATATAAATCAGATTAGGTGCAATCAACAGGATTGATCGACATCACGGCCATCCCGAAACTGGTCTAAAAAAAATAATGACCTTTTTTTTAAGGATAAAATTCGATGCAAATATAGAGACAGGCAAAGCAACGGGTTCATGCCATTTTGTTTGCTTAAGATGATCACACTGAAATGGAATTCGTGCAAATGTATTCAGTGCTTTTAATCAAAACATTTTTGATGCTTCTAGATGATATCTCGCGGGAACTTGACTTTTACAACCGGACTTATAGTAAGAAAATCTAAAAATACTTCGTATTTTCCTCTGTTCAAAACCGCGCAATTACATGTAAAATATGAGCCGAAGCTGATACTCCTCACGCCGTCTTTATGCTTGTCTCCCCCCCCCCCCCCAAATATTTTATACAAACGGTAAATATTGTATTCAGAAGGTCCTTTGGAGTTTATTTATAAAAGAATTTTAAAGAAAGCTTTAGAAAAAAAATATTTTTAAAAAATTAGACAGTACTATTTTTACGACACATATATATTTGAAGTTAAACAATAACATAAATTTGAGCAAGATTTTCATTGATGTACCTGATACTCTGTATCATCATGTAAACTGAAAAAAAATATGCATAACTTACTAATTACTAAAACCTTCGGTCCCTCGTAAGGCCCGAGGGCTGATATGACATACGATATGGCTTTTAGTACGTAGTAGTAGGTAGTATTCTATTAATTAAATATTTGAAATATTTATTATGTGAGTCCACTCAAAGTCATTCACGAATGATTCGTGCCTTATGACTTTTTCCTTTAAAAACTTAGGTAATTTCTAGAAATTAATGAATTATAAATGCATTGCAAACCACCTAATAGCTTATTTGATTTTTTAAATTAATTTACCTTTTGCTATCTCCATGGTTTCATGATTATTTAAAAATGACATTAAGAGTTTGTGAAGAACGACGATCAAAAGCGGGAAACCACAGTTATTGCCAGAAGACATTATTTTGATCCTGGTTTGTGCTTCAAAGAAAATATATGCATGTAGATGAAATTGCCAGGGGTATTCAAAGGGATATATTGAATCAACATAGAGGTGAAAATCAATATTGTTATAATTGATGAAACGTCGTTGATACATGTATGTTCGAATGATCAATTGAAGGCCACAGCAAGATACTTCTTTTTTTTTTTTTTTTTTTTTTTTTTTTTTTTTTCTAGAAGTTTGTGAATAAATTCTGCTTTATATGAATAAAAAATAGGTCTGCTAATAATGGGGCGCAAATATTAACCATGGAAAATCCGACGGATTGATGAAGACTTGGATCTCCAGAGTTGATATATTATTTATTTTTAGCATGAAACAAACATATGACGTGACGGTAATAAACATTCTCTCACCTCTATCAAGTAAATCAATGAAAATTGAAAAAAAATAAGTAATTAATTTCACGACCTATAATACCCATATTATATTAATAAAACTTTGTGATACATGAAAAGGGATAAATCTGCCAAATATGAATTAGTTTGGTGAAGAATATTAAATCTTGCACGTAAAACATAATCATATATAACAATAGTCTCTTATAAATACAATATATAATCTTATTAAAGAAGAGTGAAACAGAATGAAAAATTATTTATCCTTTTTATAGTCATAGAAGATTAAGAATATTTAATGAAATATGGATTTGAAAGATAAACTAAATAAAAATAACACGAAGCTGTGAATTTATATTTATGTATTATATCAACAACTAATGTCGTCACACATTCTTTTGAAACAACAGTCATGGCGAAAAATAGTACTAATACTTACATCAAAATCGCTGAAAAATTCCAATTTGACCTCATCTCAACTGTAGTAAACGAGTCGATAATGATACGAGTACAGCATTACGATGGGGAGTGGGGAATGTACCTTGCGTCACATGTTGCACCTCTCCTTTAGGTACCTGAACCCACCTCATGTTCCCAGAAGACCATGTATGTGTTACGTTCACGATTCGTTTTGACGCAGGATTTGTGAGAGTAATCACTGTCTGTTATTTTCAGCTTTCACTGAAAAATCTATAATAAATAAGTCCATGTAGTTAATCTTTGTCAATAATTAATCTATGAAAATGATTTAGTGTGTGAAACTATTCATGAAGTAACTTTTTTGATTCAGTTTATTTTAGTTTTATTTGAAATGATTCTTGATTTCTAAGGTATAAAATAAAGGTGTAAATAGGTAAAATCATTTCATGACATCTTGTAGAAGTGGAAAAAAAACTAGTCGGTCAATATGTATTTCATTATTAATAGAAATGTTAAAAAAATCTGCTGATGCTGTATTTTATGGATTCTTTATTACTCTATTCAAGAAAATTAATTTTCGCCCTTGTAACAAGTTATGATTTAAAACGGGGTAATTTCAAAGACAGTGCTATGTCTGGGCGAAATAAGCAAGAGACATAAAATCTTAACGCTAAGCCGAGTATAATACAACACTGAAAAGGATCAATAAAAGCATTACTAGAAAGAAACAAGCATTCTGAGAAATTTGCATTGGTAATACTAGTCCCCTAACGGCAAGTGTAATCTGGTTCCTATTAAAAGTTGAAAATGTCATCACTCCATCAAAAATCATTGAAGCGGAACGAAATGCAAACATTATTGATAACTTATCAAGGTAAAGTAACATATCAAATCATCTCAAAATCTGCAAGCATTTATAAAAAATGCGAAAAACCCTTAGAAATTAAAAAGGCCGTAATACCGTCAAAATCATTCAACAGAATGAAATTCAAACTTAATCTGTATCTTATCAAGACACACTCGCACACCAAAAATCAGCTCAATATCTGCAAGCGTTTAGAAAAAAAATACCGAAAACCAAGTGGGACAGACTGTAGAGGGACAGACGGACATACAGACAGGCGGACGCACGGTGTCCTGAAATACTAAATTTTGGTTGAGGCACCCTTGCTAACAATAACTTTGCAGTGAGTTTGTTTACTTAATATCAAGGAGCAGAGAAGATTTTCAAGATATCATGAATCATTAGTTTAATGTTTTTACTTTATATTCATAGACCCCCGGTTTTTAACGTAAGAGCCGCTTACCCAAGGCCCACACATTTTGAACTTTTGGAAGAGGTATCCTAACTTATTATAACTTTGCACTTATTGATTGATTGATTGATTGTATGTAGTTTTACGTCCCATTCGAGAATTTTTCACTCATATAGAGACGTCACCATATACCGGGGAAGGGCTTCAAATTTTGACCTTTACTCGGCACTTAGGGCCATTGAGCAGTGAGGGATCTTTATCGTGCCAACATCTGCCGTGACACGGGGCCTCGGTTTTTAAGGTCTCATCCGAAGGACCCGCAACTTTCACTTCAAAGTGCCGAGCGCATGGCGAAGGAACAGTTGCTACACATTTTTTATCGACTTAGGTCAGTCGCGGCCGAGATTCGAACTCACGACCTCCCGATCACGGAGCGAGCGCTCTACCGACTGAGCTACCGTGAACGGTCTTTGCACTTATTAGAATTTGATTAAATTTAGTCTAAAATTCTGCAATCTTTTAAGGTGAGTAATGTTTTTTTTAAGCCTTAGAGGCAAAAATAAATTCTGATGCACAAGTATATAAAAGAGATTCATGTATAACTAATAGACATTTTCTGCAAATTTCATTAATTTCATTAACATTAGGTTGTCTTAAAGGTCTTACGCTAGTAAAAAAAAAAAAAAGCAAATTTTAATTCTATATAGAGAGACGGGACGTGGAGACTGGTCCTTCTGATAAACCGAGGTCCTGTGTTGCAGTAAGTGTTGGCACGAAAAAAATCCCTCACTGCTCAATTGCCCTGAGTGCCGAACATATATAGGTATAAATTTGCAGTCCTCCACCGACAAGTTGTTGCGTCTCCATATGAGTGAAAAAGGGACGTTAAACAGCAAACAAACAAACAAAAATATAGAGAGACGCTTCCTTTTCTTTTTCCTTCTTTTTTTTTTTATAGACCTTCAGTATTAATTTTGGACTCAGTTACTAGAATAGTATAGCTTTAGTCCCTCTAAATTACACGCAATTTTAGGTGCACACGATCAAACTACCTGGATGGTTTGGAGTCTGTCAACATGTGAAACCCCATACATTTTAGGATAGGTATGTTCACCTTCAATTTTTCTCTCTTTTCTAATAGTCTTCAAAAGGACAGGATTGAAACTGCATATAAGCGTATTTGTCTAATCTCAAATTTTTGTTTAATCCTTTATCGCTTTTATCATCCAATCAATTTCCTTTTGTAATCATCTACCGAGTTGATTAATAAATTAAAAATTTTAGCTATATATATATGATAACGCATAGTGATTTTTTTTTCTCAAACACAGCGAGGGATATTTTTCTTGCTACATTTTGTAGCAACTACTCTTCATACGTCGCATCCGAACGATTGGTTTCTGCAGCTGGATTCGAACTCGCGACGTAAGGAACATT